ACACATCTCTATGGTACCTGAACACATCTCTGTGGTACCTGAACACATCTCTGTGGTACCTGAACACATCTCTGTGGTACCTGAACACATCTCTATGATACCTGAACAAATCTTTATGGTACCTGAATACATCTAAGTTGCCTGAACACATTTCTTAGACATCAGAATTTTTTTTAAACTTCTTTCCTATTGTATGAAAGTGTTTTATTTTCTTTGTTATTTTTTATAATGGGACAAAAACAAACATTTGTCTAATGACTGCCATGATTATAAATGATGGACAATAAAACATATACATATATATATTTTTATATTAGACAAACAGATTGAGCAGTTATTTCTGGTTTTAGCTAGATTCGTGTTTCTCTCAGTTTGAGTTAAACTCCTCTAAACTTCCTCTAAAATTCACAATGAGGATCTAATTAATAAGTTTTACTTGTAAAATTAATTAAATAATTTTTGAACAACTCAACAGGTGAATGTGGATTATATTCTCATAAAGCTGAGGGCAGAGCTGTCCAAAGAGCCACAGTGCCCTCTACTGACCAAAACCTGAAATCACATCTTGTCCTCTGCTCTGGTTCTGGTCCACAAGTCTTGTGGATCCCAGATGGAACCTTAAAGGAGGAAATAAAAGTGTTTTTAATCTAATAATAGTTTAAATTTTAGTGGTTGATATGATAAAATCTTCTGGTCCAGCCATCGTGAGATTACGCGATGACACCCGGTAAGCTCCGCCCCAGTGACGAAACAGTAAGCCCCGCCCCTATGTTTTGGTTCCGCCGACAGATAAGGGGTTCTGTTTTTAGCTCCGTCATGTTCTGGAGGCAGAGAGGAGCATCTTTCTGATCCATAAACAAAACCTGACAGGTTCGTCTCACATGAACGCGGCTTCACTTCCGGGTCTGAGGTTCTGAAAGCTCAAAGCGGAAGTTTAGTCATGGCTGACCGGAGATAAACCGGCGATCCATCTTCCCCTCTCTCTAAGATCATGGATCCTCCTGAGGTCCAGCCCGGAGGTCCGGACACCGAGCAGGACGCTGCACCGACCCCGGCGGAGGTAGACGCCGCGGTTCTGCTGCTGGGAGCGGGAGTTACCGCCGCCACACACCCGCTGCTCTACGTCAAACTGCTGATCCAGGTCTGTGGTTCCGAGTCTGGTTTACTCACAAGTCAGGACAGATGTTGGACTGTTTGTTAGCCCCGGTCCTGAAGTCAAAACCACGATTTTACCCAAACAGTTACCTTTCAGCTGCTCTGCAGAGGCGTTCATAGGACCCTGACTCAGGGGGGCTCAGCCCAACATGGTCCTGAATCAGGGGGGTTCAGTCCAACATGGTCCTGAATCAGTGGGACTCAGTCCAACATGGTCCTGAATCAGGGGGGCTCAGCCCAACATGGTTCTGAATCAGTGGGACTCAGCCCAACATGGTCCTGAATCAGTGGGGCTCAGTCCAACATGGTCCTGAATCAGGGGGGCTCAGCCCAACATGGTCCTGAATCAGTGGGGCTCAGCCCAACATGGTCCTGAATCAGGGGGCTCAGTCCAACATGGTCCTGAATCAGGGGGCTCAGTCCAACATGGTCCTGAATCAGGGGGGCTGAGCCCAACATGGTCCTGAATCAGGGGGGCTCAGCCCAACATGGTCTTGAATCAGTGGGACTCAGTCCAACATGGTCCTGAGTCAGTGGGGTTCAGCCCCATCGAGGACAGATTTTTAACAGCACATTATAAAAGTGACCGTTTGGTGTGGATCCAACACCAGGTAAAAACAGGTCCATGGCTGCAGATGTTGAGTTGATACTTTTATCCAGTGATGAGTTCAGAACAACAATGGATGAAAACAGGTTTGTTTTAAAAGTTAAACTTTTTTTTGTTTTGTTTTGTTTTGTTTTCAGGTGGGACACGAGCCTCTGCCCCCGACTGTTGGTACAACCTTGTTTGGAAGAAAAGTCTTATATCTGCCAGGTTTCTTTACGTACGGTGAGTGATGTGGTTCTGTAGAAAACCTCAAGTCCAGCCTAAAGTAAACCTGGAGAACCAACCTGAACCCTGACACTCTGAACCCCGACACTCTGAACCCTGACACTCTGAACCCCGACACTCTGAACCCTGACACTCTGAACCCCGACACTCTGAACCCTGACACTTTAAACCCTGACACTTTGAACCCCAACACTCTGAACCCTGACCCTCTAAACCCTGACACTCTGAACCCCAACACTCTGAATCCCGACACTCTGAACCCTGACACTCTGAACCCCAACACTCTGAACCCTGACCCTCTAAACCCCGACACTCTGAACCCTGACACTCTGAATTCCGACACTCTGAACCCCGACACTCTGAACCCTGACACTCTGAACCC